CTGGCATGAAGACATCAGTGGTCCTTTCCCATTTTGTCTGCTGGCAGTGGAGGACGGTCCTTATTGCAGAACAGAACATTGCTCCAGTTAATACATGTAAGTAATGGTCTGTGCTACAGTATTCTGTGCCCTGACTGATAGATAACATCCATTAGGTGGCCAGTCTATGACAGCTGAATGATGATGCTGACCATCATTCATCCCAGAAAACTGGCGGCACCTAGTGGAGGAGAATAAATACTGCAAGCTACAGCTCCAGATTGAAAGTAAAAATTGCAGCAAAAGCTTTCTTAACTTGTGCTAGGTTGCATATTTTATTTGTATTTTTTTCTAAATGTGGAGGTCAGTTTTATGTGTATTCATTTAATGAGGTTTTAACTATGACCTACCTTAGTAGCATAGTGTAACTTAGTGCCATGTTGTTTCCAATAAGGAGTGGTACTCATATGTGGACTCGTGCGGAAAGTCATGGATAAGACATCTGTCACCACTCTTCAGTCTCCATTGTAATTGTAACATTATTGTTTTTCGCTGTGTGTTTATTCAAACACGCACAATGTCATATTAATATGTACACATCATTATAAACATTAGGTGAGAAGAACTCTGAAGTTTACAATTCATCTGAAGTGAATTTAGAGAACATGCCACATGTTTAGTAAATGCAGGTGGTGTATGTATGCAATGTCCAACTTATATGTAAACAAAACAAGATGGTTTGTCTCCTCTGAGGATATGTATATGTAATAAAATCACTGTATAAAAATTACACGCTGGACAGATCTTTTTAGGCCTTGTGGAGACAGTCATTAACTCTGAATTATAAACCCTTGTCTGGTTATTTGTTTTTACAGCTGTGTCCGGGGAACAACAGAGGCATCAGAGAAGTACAGTGTGCATCCTATAACAACAAGCCATTTATGGGGAGATTATATGAATGGGAACCATTTTCAGAAGGTACTATAATTATTGTTATTTTTACTAGAGCATACAATTGGACTTTTTTTTATTTTAGCTGAAATAACTATAATGAAATTGGGAAATCCACATATATATTTAAACCATGCTTTAAATGCTAAAGGTCTGTTCCCTAAAATACTGGTTATTAAAAGTTAATCCAAGCAAACAATGTAAAAGCACCCAAATAATTATTTGTAACATAATATTTTGTTGAACAAATGGATATGTAGAGTGGAATAATATTAGGGACATCACTGTGCTCAGTTTGATGTTTCTGCTGCTAAATTATGAGAAATGAGGAGAGAAGTGACAGGTTCAGGCATGTGGAATAAAAGCATGACAAGCCTACTGAAGTATCCTTTATTTTTTTAAAGGCTTATATAAAACTACAAGAAGAAGTTACCATATGGGCATATGTTTGTATGAGGATACAAATGGATGTTATACAAAAACATTATACAATGCATACATTCTAAAAATACACACTTATAAATTTAAGTACTGCTTAGTTCTTGATGTCATGTTGTCAATATTGCATTTCCATCACTGTAGCCTGTTGACATGATGGGGAAAAAAAACATTCATGGCATTTGAATAAAAAGGAAAAGTCACCTCTCTGCCTTTGCAACTTATGTACTATAAGCTACAACAAGTGGCTTAGCTATCAGCTTTACTGACTTTTCCTTGTTTTCCAAGTACCAAAATATTTCGTTTTTTAACAATGTCTTTCCTTGTTTTGCAAACATGATTCGTGAGATAAAAGGACATTGAGATACTTTTTTTTTTGCAGTTATACGTTGACCTATAATCATATACATGTTTTTATGTTAAGTACTTGCATGTTAGGTACTGTGTAACACTTACAGTTATTTAGCACCTCACAAAAGGAGCACATTAGTTCCCCTGACAATGCCTTAATTAGATTTTTTTCTCCAGAAGTATGGAGGCTTCTTTCTTCAGGCATCATTCAAGGTCAGCATCTGGACTGAGATGCTGACCCAGGAAAGAGACAATCATGTTAATCCCTCTGAAGTTCTTGGCTGTGTTTACACATGTTTGGTACAGATTAGCCCTTGTTGCTTGTTGTAAAGTTCATGAATTGTCCATTTAAGAAGTTTACATTTCTTCTCCCTACTTTCCTATTTCACCAAATGTAGCTTTATGCTATTTTGCATTTCTTCTGCCCTTTACTCTAAGTAATAATATTTTGAAATGGTATTTTAGCAGTTTTGTTACATTTGATATTAGCCGTAGCAAACAAGCTATTCTGATATATATTTACTGTGCACACAATCAATTTTCTAATTGATGGTGCAAACGTCATTCATTTCTTTGCATTGAAGGGAGACCAGAGATGACTTGTAACAGTAAATATGGTTCATATACCTATCTGGAGTGTGTGTCTAGTGCTGTACACAGATGCTTGATGAGAGACAGTAGAACAATGTTGAGTTAACTTAAATCTCATCTTTTAAATACATACATACACAGACATATAATACCTGCATGGTCTAGTTAATAATAAAATATTTTTCTTATGCCTATTCATTTGGAGATGAGATACAGATGCATATATCCACATACACCCCAAATATATCTTGAAGATATATTTAAATAATAACTTACAATACTCAGTAATCATTTATGTACACTAGGACAACATCTTATGTAAGTTACACTTAAACAATAAGTTGACCATTTGAAAGGTTCAGTCTACCAAAAGTTAAATTTTGGTTACAGATGGATGAAATCTGATGAGCTTATTTACCTACTGGCTGCATATATATCTTGAAAACTCCAGCAACAAGATCCGCATGCCATAGTTCTATGTCTACCCACTTTGGGCTGTTTATACATGGTTACATCAGAACATTTGATAATGCATATAGAGAGTTGATGAATGTTGTTCGAAAATTAATTTGATTTTAACATTCAATTGTGGAATGAATGGAGTTTCCCCAAACTAAAACCACATTCACTGTTGTAATTTCATTAATTTAAAAAAAGTTTTCCTTCCTGCTCCTTTGATTTCTTTCATCAATACAGTCAAAAACGATTCTAGATTTAACCCCATTAACCATTAGAAAATAGAACGTACATTTCTAACCATGTATATCCAGCTTTAGAGTGTGCCACTTTACTGTGCTACATGGTCCACAATATTAAATTAATTTAAAATCCAACAAGGAAGTAGTAGTAACCATTTCTCACTCTTGTAATTCCAAAGACATGCTGGAAGGTTAATTGGCTACTATTTAAAATTGGCCCTGTATGCAAGTGAAATAGGGACTTTAGATTGTAAGCTCTTTGAGGGCCGGGGCTGATGTGAATGTGCAGTATGTAAAGCACTTTGTAAATTGTTGTTCTTTATAAATACCTGTACTAAATAACAACAAAAAAATAGATATTGCCAGAAGAGTCATTGAGAGATATAAGAAACTGTACAGCTGGCAGTACACATGGAAATAGTCAGTCATATTCAACCATTTCCAAGCCACTAGGTGTAACAATAAATAATTTCCAGAAACAACACAATCTACCACCCACCAGTACGATTGGCCGTATTGAAAGATCCAAAGAACTGGCTTCAGGAACGTGTCCATAAAGTATTGATAAATGGCAGATTGGTCTTAGGTCGAGAGTGGCGCTCCTCAGGGTTCTGTAGTAGGCCCCATATTGTTTACCCTATTTATGAATGATATTGGGGAGGATGTTAATAGCCATGTTTCTGTGTTTGCAGATTATACTAAAATTGGGAGGGTAATATACACGGACGTAGACATTATAACATTACAAAAGGATATGGATAAAATAGGTGTGTGGGCAAATATATGGCAGATGAGGTTCAATGTTGTTAAATGTAAAGTAATGCACTTTGGGGTTAAAAACAGGCAAGCGGAATACACATTAATGGGAACTCCACTAGGGAAGTCAGAAATGGAAAAAGATTTGAGTGTCATAGTAGACAACAGATTGAATAATAGGTTGCAATGCCAGGCTGTGGCAAACAAAGCTAGCAGAGTACTGTCTTGTATTAAAAGGGAATGTATTGTAGAGACAAAGCGATAATTTTGCCACTTTATAGATGGCTGGTTCGGCCTCATCTTGAGTATGTGGTTCAGTTTTGGTCACCTATCCACAAAAAGGATGTCCTGGAGCTGGAGAGACTCCAAAGAAGGGCAACAAAACAACTGGAGGATCAAAGCTATGAAACAAGGTTGCTAAATTTGGACTTGAGGCAATTGCTTTTAATGTACAAAATGTTTGGTGGTGATGGCAACATCAAGAGTAAACGTTTTACAGTAAACTCTCTATAAAAGACTAGAGGCCACCACCTAAAATTGGTACAGAAAAGATTTAACCACACACGGCATAAGGGCTTCTTCTCAGTCAGAGTGGTTACATTTTGGAACTCTCTGCCACAAGTAGTGGTATCAGCAGAGAGTATAGAATAATTTAAAAACCATTTAGATACCTTCCTAAGAGACTGTAACATACAGGGGTACAGGTACTCTTAAAACTCTTAGGACCACACAGGCACTCATATACACACATGCACACACTACACACACAAAGGTTGAACTTGATGGACTTGTGTCTTTATACAACCTCAAATACTATGTAACTATGCAATTGAAATGGAATTGAAATGGTAAAAAAACTAAGGAAATGTCATCAAAAGTCATCTAATTTTTCTGTTGCTTTTTTTGTGGGCAATTTTGATCTCATCTACTTGTGGTCTATAGAAATCCACATTTTCTATATTTGATTGCTTAGCAATTTAAAAAAATTATGGAATTGAAAGTCCAGGTACAAATTGCCATGTGTACGACCAACTTTAGATGGTTTAAAGAACCACTACTGCAAAAAATATTGTAGTTATTGTGATGTAATAGCTGTTAGTATAAAACTTTGGATGCAGAGCTCTGCATTCAACCGTTATACAGTTATGATTTTGCTGATATTTAGAATCTTACAAAGGAGCCTCTTTGGTCTCATAATCATGTTGGAGAGCTGTATACACAATATATTAAAAGTAAATCGGAAATAAAAGCGGTATCCAAGTTTAAAGATGATATAACCTTACATCTTACATAATCAATTTTTAATGATGTTGCTCTTTGCCAACAATTGTCTGATAGCCCACAGAAATCTAATTTCTCATCTCCTCTGGGGCATGGAAGGCTGGATTTATATCCATCTGAATCACACTCCGTCTGTTTGCAATCCAAAATGTAATGTCCTGCTGTTTTCAGACAAACATTATGCTTTCTGATGAAAACATACTAGGGTTTTGGATTCTTTTTAAAACTGAACTCTAGGCAGATATAAAAACACCATTTAATGCAGTTATGTACTAATTTAAAAACCATTAAACATGTTTTTACATGTAGCTAATGTAAGTGCCTGAATTTGCCTTGATATCAGCCTACTGTAATCTTTTGTAGAGCAGGACAATCAATTAATTAAGACCATTAAGTTATTTTAACTGTATTCATTATTTTATTGCTAACTTTTCCCATAAAAATGTGACATTACATACAGTAGAATTGTATGTGTAAACTAAAGTGTTATGCCACAGTAACCCGGGGTTTGCAGTAACTCATGGTAAACAACTGGACATTGTATAGTGTTATAGTTCCTCATTGTGGTTTTATTTTAAATATATTTGGTTTTGCTGTAAATTAAGTTAAAGTGACACTAAACCCAGGACCTAAATCTCAAAAATGTATTCAAGTACCTTCCCTGTTAACAAAAATGTATCTCATTTGTGTATCACTCTGTAGATGATCAAATCATCTCTGAATTGGTGCTGACACTGTCCTTCCTTCTGGAGGGTGGCTACTTTTGTTCCCAATGGTCCCTGTGTGTGTGTTGTAAAGTAGCCACCACTCCAAGCTCACTCCCATGATGGACTATAATTTCAATACAAATTAGTAAACTAAACACAAGACTGTAGTCCATCACAGGAGTGAGCTTGAGGGGTGGCTATTTTA